CCCCAAACACCCAACCACCTCCCCTCCAGGCGACCAGAGTGTGTACATTTGTGCGTTTGTTTGTGTTTGTGCTCCTCAGATCCTGCACCACACCAACAACGTGTTCCAGCTGGTGAGCAAGACACGTGCGTCGGACAATGACGTGGTGGAAGATGGCGGGGGAGAGACACAGGACTCAGACCTCAGAAAGTCCCGGAAGACCAGCAAGGGAGGTAAGTTTCTTGAATTTTTAAATTTTAATTTAACCCTATCCATACGCCCTGGAGTCATTTTGTACCACCGTGGTTGTATTCTTCACATTTTAAAATACTTCTAGTACGAAGATTTCTTTGAAACTTTCAGTATTCCGCAAAAACAATCATTTTGACAGTCTGCCATGCAAAGCGTACGGATCGGATTAACGAGTAAATTTCCTCTTTAGAAAGTGGTGGCACAGAGTTCCCCACGTCGTATGGATACGATAGTGAAACACGACGTATGCATAGGGTCAAAAAAGGTGTTTTTTTAGATATGTATGTTACCCCCTACCCCCATCCCACCCCTTTTCCCCCAGGGCATTGCTACTGACTGAAGTTGTCTTTAGGGCATTCCCAAGGGGAGGATATTAACATGTTCTTATACACAATAGAATTGTAAATGGGCTGATTTATCATTGTCATGGTCATACTGTGCCGGAACAACATAGGGGGAACTGCTGCTTTTTTTCCTCTCATCCTTACTATCGTCATTTTTACCTCTACCTCTTTTGTAAGTGTGTCTCCCTCTTGTGAACTACTATTTCCGGGGTGCCTTGATAGTCGAAGCAGACTTTGTGCTGTTCAGGCTTGAGAGGTGAGCAGAGTAAGCCTGATTCCCCGTTTGGACTTCTCTGTTGACATCCACCCCTTGTCGCTCATACGACCGTATGCAGTTGCGAGCGCCGTAAAACCTTACTGAAACTAAAAAGATAAGTGTTCTTTACGCCTCCATCGACACAGTTTAGATCATTTAGGAAGTCGTTTTCAAACTCTGCTTGTCTTGACCAAACTGCGCTGAAAGAGATACAATATCCCAGTCGAAAGACCTATATACTCCTTAAAAACTGCACTCTCAATATGTGTGAGTTGTTATCTTTATAAAAAATATTATTTCCACTCGGGAATTGAACCCGGTTCCCGTGCGTGACACAGAAAAACACCTAACCGCTACAACACGGACGCCGATAACCATTTCGCTGTCGTAGAATTACAGCGTTCTATCTGTTCAGTACTCAGTTGTTGAAAATTTGACGTCAAAGATTATGAGTTTCACAAAAAGTCAGGCTTTTTCGAATGCAATTCTTAGTATGCCTTGACAACGACTCCGAATAATCTTTTGGGGTTTTTTTTTGTTTTTTTGGTTTTTTTTGGGGGGGGTTGTTGTTTGTTTTGTTTTTTGGGGGGATCGATATTTTAAAGAATGCAACAAGGGTGGACAGGGGGCGCGGGGGAGGCTGTTTCTGTTTGTTTTTTGCTTTTATTGGGTTTTTAAAAATTATTTTGGTTTCAGAACTCATGATCTTAGTGACTCAAAACGGCTAAAAATGTCAGATATAGAACTTTGTGATTCTGAGGTAGTGACTAGACCGCGCGATCTCAGACAAAAATGTCAGTACGACAGTTGGAGAGTGGCAGGAGGCGACGGCGGGTAGCCAGAAGTGACAGCAGCTCTTGGCAGTGACAACCTCAGGAAGTTGTCAAATGTCAACGTCACATACATGGTTTTGTGGGTTGTCTGTGAGGGCGGGGG